CGTTGAATTCTTCTTCGGTATCGTCTTCCTCTTCAGGCTCACGATCATGTTTCCTGACTTGTGAATAGGATATGAAGGGACTCGGTTCAAATTGCTTATGTACTGGAGAAGTTTCATAGAATGAAGGTGGATTATCTTCCTCTTCCGATAATTCCGATAGTATATTTTGACGCATCGGTGTTGATGTATAATACGTGGCATCAGACTACAAAGAAAAGAGTTAATTATTATCTCTAACAGACAATCACGATCACAGTCCTTACCAACGTCGTGTCAACTCTACCAATAGCAGTTTGAAGGACCGTTGTAGTATTTTTCATCACGGAACAGGCAGCACCTATCTATGAATTCAAAAATAAAAAGTTAATATGGAAGTGCAAACCGAGAAAAACATTTAGAAAACTAACCTCAGCTAAACGTAATTCTTGCCTTTTGGATTTGATTGCTAAATCGGCAAGATCGTTTTCAATTTTATTCCAAAACGCTTCAACTTTTTCGTAATTCTTGCGATGACCCTTATAATTGATGCGTATAGGTTAATATGACAGTTATATTATGCAAGATAGTCATAATGGACAAGCAGACCACAACGGACAAGCAGACCATAAAGCGGGCAACTAGCGGATGCCCACCGTAGTTGTGTGAGTTTTACCCCTTCTCGGGACTACTGGAAGTCTCCCATACTGCCTTATAGCAGACCACAACGGACAAGCAGAACATAAAGCGGGCAACTAGCGGATGCCTACCGTAGTTGTGTGAGTTTTACCCCTTCTCGGGACTACTGGAAGTCTCCCATACTGCCTTTTTAACAACAATCATAAAAATTACCTCGAAATTTTGCTTCAATTTGATAGCACTCTTCTTGATCTCTTTCGAACCCATTTCTAATATAAAGTCTAAATCCTTCCGAAGTTTGTCAGCCTCCTTTTGAAAGGAGAAGGTAAAATCTTTTTGCTTACTGCGGTATTGATAAAAATCCAGGAAGCGATAATTATCAGGCGTCGTTTCTTTGAAATAACCATAGTAGGTATCCATTTTATGTAACGGGTGATTAATTTCCAAGAAGAAAACAAGACGCGAGTATTTAAATCGTAGCTATGTGACACGGTCACGAGGGTGGTAGTCGCACAAATAAATCAATCTAGTTAATTAAGATTTTATATATTACTGTATATATTACAAATAAATATAT